CCCTGCTTGTGTTCCCTCTCTCGCTGTGTCTCTCTCTGTCAAATAAATAAATAAAATCTTAAAAAAAAAAAAAAAAGGAATCACTGAGAATAAAGTTCTGCATTTAAAAAGCCAGTTTCAAAAAATAAAGTCAGGGGCGCCTGGGTGGCTCAGTTAAGTATCTGCTGCTTTCGGCTCAGGTCATGATCCCAGAGTACTGGATTGAGCCCCACATCAGGCTCCCTGCTCAGCATGGAGCCTGTTCTCCCTCTCTCTGCCCACCACCACAACCCCCACACATGCTCTCTCTCTCATATAAACGAAATCTTTAAAAAATAAAAAATACAGTTTCACTTAACTTGACTTAATTTGAAAAACAGAGTTGATTGTTGTTTAAGGATTTAGGTAAGGGCACTCCCTTTGACGGCGGGGTCCCCTCCAGTCTCCATCATCTGAGTAGGTGCGCTCCATACTTTCCAGTCCCCCCTCACTTGTTTATTTATATACATATTTTTATTTTTTATTTTTTTTCAAGTAGGATCCTTGCCCAATGTGACACTTGAAGTTCGACCCTGAGATCAAAAGTTTTGTGCCGTACCTACTGAGCCAGTCAGGCACTGGCCGGGTACTTTCCAATTTCTGATGGGCCATAGAAAACATCCAATCCACTTGTGTTTGTCACTTAAAATCTTAGATTGGGAGCCATTGAGGAGGGCACACAAACCTTTCCTAAAAACACTAAGTTAATAAAATGGAATTATGATGATGCTTTTTACCTGATGCATTCACATTTAACTGACAAATGTGGGGTTCTCTGCTGCTTGTGCTGAGCTGTTTTGCTGACAGATTTCCTGATATCACCCTCCCCACAACATGTGGCTTTCTTCTCTGAGGGAGTCCTCCAGCATTTAAGACCTGGAGGAAAGACTGCAGAAGTTGGAGATGCAGGTGGACAGCTTGGCCTACAGCCTGTCCTTGAGTCCAAATAGAGAAGACATAGGTGCCCCTGGAGGGCCAGGCAGCAGGTGTGGTTTCTGGTCCCCTGGCTCTGGCCGGACCTCCAGAGAGCCACATGGCACACCAGAGCTGTGGCCTTCCAGTCTGGCCCACAGCCCCCCACTCACCAAACCCCAGGGTGTCCCATCACCAAGGTTGCACCTGCCCACTGCTCAGCTTGCCTGGTGTCTGCCATGGACAGCAACTGTGCAGAAGCCTGCCTGCTTATCACATTTAAGACTCCTAGGACAGCCAGGCCTTCAAAAGTAACGAGCTGGTCCTTTTTCTGTTCCCTCTCTCCAGCTTCCAAAAGGACCTGCTGGTTCTGATGTCGCTCACAGTCGCCCAAACCCACATGCAGCCCACACCCACACCCACACCCACACCCCCACCCCCACCGGACAGACTCCAACCCTGCCAACAGAAAAGCTGCCCAGCCCGGCCCTCCCAGGACTGAGCCCCCAAAATGGGGCCCTGGGCTGCTGGTCCCCATCCTAGCCACCAAAGCCAGATCACGGGGCTCCTGCAGCTCTTCCCTGTGCCTCCAGAGAGTCAGAAGAGGTAATGAGGGCTTAGAGTGCTGAGCCCTCAGATGTGCTACCTTGGGCCCAGGACTGGAGAGTGACTCAGGACTGAGCCCAGAGCTCACTACCTCTCCAGTCTTGTCTTCCTGAGTAGCGTATGCTTCTAGGTAAGCAGTTGCCTACTGAGATGCCCTGGCCTGCTGGGCATCTGTGGGTCCCCCTCACAACCAGGACAGCCCCACGGATGAGTGCACAGGCACTTGGCTGCCCCCACCCGGCTGGCAGGAGACACACAGAGCACTGGCCTGCCCTTCTCACAATAAAAGCAGGGCCGATGCAGTCTGGACAGACCTTGGAAGCAATGTCCTCTGAAGCCATGGCCACTGAGGAAGGTGTGTTCTCAGAGGGGCTGTGAGTGGGGACATGCCGGCTGCGTGATACAACCTCTTGCTTTTCTTGTCTTGACCAGAAGCAACCACAGCCCTTTCTGATTTTCACGTCTGTGTCAGAAGCTCATAGTGCCACGTATCACTTCACACGGAGTGACGTGTGAGTCCCTGCAGGTGGCAGCCTGTAGGGGTGTGGGGAGAGGCCAGGACAACTTTCCTGGAGGTTGTTCCCAGACAGGGCCCAGACTTATCAACCTTTAAGAGTTGCCTGGGTGGCTCAGTCAGTTGAGGGTCTGACTCTTGATTTCGGCTCAGGTCGTGATCTCAGGGTCGTGGGATGGAGCCCCTGCATCCAGCTCTGTGCTCATTGTGGAGTCTGCTGGAGATTCTCCCTCTCCCTCTCCCCACCCTGTGCACATGCTCTCTCTCAAATAAATCTTAAGAAAAAAAAAAGTTGCCTAGAACGGTGCAAAGGGCAGCACTTCCAAGGTAAGGGTTTCCAGAAGAGGCATTCCTTGGCACAGAAGTGGGGGCTCCTTTCCCTGCCCTCAGCATCCAGCAGTGATGAGCTGAAGCCGGAGCCTCTTCCAGGGAGTAGGGCCGTGTGTCTTTGGCCACTCTGCCCTTGCTTGGGATTGCAGGTATGTTTGGGGGAAGGAGCTCATCTGTCTCAAGTGCATGACTGAGCCATTAGGAAAGCACCTGCCAGGGGCGCCTGGGTGGCTCAGTCAGTTAAGCATCTGCCTTTGGCTCAGGTCATGATCCCAGAGTCCTGGGATCGAGCCCCGCATCGGGCTCCCTGCTTGGTGGGAAGCCTGCTTCTCCCTCTCCCACTCCCCCTGCTTGTGCTCTCGCTATGTCTCTCTCTGTCAAATAAATTTAAAAAATACTTAAAAAAAAAAAAAAAAAAGAAAGGAAAGCACCTGCCAGTATTCTCTTGCTTTTTGTCTTGCCGCCTGCACAGCACTCTGCAGGCTGGACTGAGAGGCTCTGCGGAAGGGGGACCTTTCCAGGTGCCCAATGGGCTTGGACCTACAGGTACCCGGGGCATCAGGGTGGGGCACACTGGCCTGCACATGGGGAGTTCTGATCAGCCCTGGGGAAGGTCTCCCTCTCCGGTCGATGCCGCCTAGGACCCTGTTGTTCACATCCACCAGCCTAGGGAGGGGTCAGCTGACTCTGGGCTGCCTGCTAACCACTGGTCAGGGTGTAAGCAGATGCCTGCAGTGGCACAGGCCACACAGGCCACTGGGCTTCCCTGGGCCTGATTCCCCAGGGGTTGTGGGGACATGTAGGAGAAACCCAACACCCACTCAGCAGTGCCTCCCTACCCTCTGACCAAGTCTGGCCTGGCCCGGCACTACCAGGGAACCCTGGACCGACCACCTTCGCCGCCCCCCCCCCCCGCCCACTCTGCCTCCTCTGGTCACACAGGGCAGGAGCCCTTTGTCTCCCATGCCGTTGTCACATAAGCAGATGGTGGGCTTGCGCACTGCTGGCCCCCATAAATGTTCAGTACACTAGACTAGTGTGGTGCAGGCCTTAGGTGCTTAGGGAGTCATGTGATTCTTGGGAGTCTGGTCCTTGAAAAATGGTGGCAGCCCAGCTCGATTGAAGGCTGCCCCCAAACACATGCCCACCAAACCCGAGTGGGCAAACTGAGAACACTGTCAGGGACTTGAAGACCACCTCTCTCAACCCTGCAGTTTGCTTGGGTTAGGGTGTCCATTTCCAATTAGCAGGCGGCCCGCGAGTCAAACTGCTGCTGCGGGAGCGGTATTGCCAGCAGAGGGCGCCACAGCCCCACCCCTGATCTGAAGGCTGTGGTGGGGACAGCCCTGCACAGCCAGGTCCCTGTCCCTGCCTCTGGCAACTCTGCTCCAAACCACGGAGTCCCACCCACAGAAACGGCCAGGGTCCTCTGAGGAGGAGATGCAGATGGCAGGGTGTTCGGAGCCTCAGCACTAGGAGGGGCTCGGCTCCCCTCCCCTTCCCCAGCACCAGCCTCAAAACATTGGCCTTCCGTCTGGGACCTTTCACAGGGCTGGAGTGCTGGGATGGAGTAAAACACTCTGAGACTTCAGAGCTTAGTTTACATCTAATTTACTGTATTTTAAAGTCTGCGGTGTTAGTGGGGGAGAGGCAAAGTGAGCACGGAGTTGGTGCAGACGGGAGTACATGCATACCTTGATGGGGCTGAGGGCCAGCAGGTACTGCCCTTAGGACTCGTCTGGAGGCCCCAGAGAGCAGGAGTGGCAGGAGGTGGGGTCTGAGGATGCTGTAGAGAATCGCTGGGGTGAACCCACCCAGGGGAACCTTGTTTGTCCCTGCCCACGCATCGAAGCTCCCCACCCGGAAGCAGGGGAGGCCCCCCGTGAGTGCAAGCCTTGGGACTCGCAGGGGCAAGGAGCCCTCCTGTCTCCAGGGTCCTGTTCCTCCAGGAAGGTGCCATCTGCATCCCTGCGGCTGTAGCTGAACCCAGCGGGGTTGTGGGCAGGAAGGCAGGGCCACTGTCCCCAGCAGGCACTACCCCTCAGGCCAACTGAACACCCTGGCAAAGACCACCTTTCTGCTGACCCAGCTGCTGACCACACCATCAACCTGCCAGCACAACGCCCTGCCCTTTTCCAGATCCTGTCCCCTCCGGGAAGCCTTTGCAACCCAGCCGGAGCCAGCTCCCGCCCTTCCCCCACCCACCTTCCACCAACATCTAGGACCTGAGGCCGCAGGGACGCAGCGCGGCCAGCCGGACCAAGCCCTCTCAGACCGATGACAGCCCTTGCCACCAGAGGGACTGGGCCTTCACACGAGTGAGAGGTCCAGCCGCTCCGCTCAGCTGCCTCCTGTCCTGAGCTCGAGGCCAGTCTTGCATCTGATGTTCTCAGCTCACCCCAGAGTCCCTGTCCATCTTCCTGCTAATTCCTGCCCAAAGGACAGCACCGCGTGTCCAGCTCTGGGCCCGGGCAGGGGGTCGCGATGGCCAGGGAGTCAGGCGAGCCCTGCGTCCTAGAAGGCAGACGCCCGAGCAGGGAGCCCTCCGCCGCCGCAGGAGAGTTCTGGGTGGGGGGGATTCGGACGGAGTCGCCGCGGGGCAAGGCCCAGGTTTTGGCGGTGGGGAGAAGGGGGCCCTCGGGTGGGCGGGGCGGCCGGCTCACGGCTCCCGGCCCCCGGCCCCCGGCGGCTGGGGGCGCGGGGCGCGGCTGCGCTCGCCGTCGGGCGTGCAGGCCTTGGCCGACAGCGCTCTCTCGCTGCCCGAGCGGAAGGCTGCCGTCACGGTCACCAGGTAGGCGGTGCTGGGCGCCAGGCCCTGCAGCGTGGTGCTGTTGCGGCCCGCCGGCACCTCCACGCGCTGCGCCGCCCCGCCCAGCAGCGGCCCGTACTGCACGTGGTAGCCGAGCACGGCGGCCGCGCCGAGCGCCGGCGCCCAGCTCACGCGCAGGCTGCGCGGCCTCGCATGAGAGATGACGATGCGCTCCGGCCCGGCCTCCTCTGCGGGGGGGGGGGGGGGGGGGGAGGGCGCCCCTGGGGGGGGGGCGGGGGCGGGGCCTAGGCCTGCCCCCGCCCCGCCCCGCCCCGCCCGGTCGCCCGCGGGTCCCCCCACCCCGCCCAGCCCGCCCTCCGCGCCCCGCTCACCCGGCAGCGTGTGCACCCGCAGGTGCTGCGGCCTCACGAGGTGAACGTTGGACTCGGGCACCAGCGCCACCTCGTAGTCGGTGTCAGGGTCGAGGTTGACCCAGGCCCAGCCCGTGGCGTTCCCCGGTAGCTGTTGGCGACGCACGGTCCCCGGCTCGGAGCTGGGCGCCAGCTCCAACACGTAGTAGCCAGAGTCTGCGGTCAGCAGGGGCGGCCAGGCCAGGTGGAAGCCGCTGGACGTGACCTCAGAGGCACGGAGTTGCTGTGGCCGCATCGCATCTGCGGGTGGTGCAGGGGGTCAGGTCTCCTCTCGCCCAGCCTGGGGCCCTGACTGACCAGGCAGGGAGACGTGGGGAACAGCCCAGGCTCCGCCGCCCCAGCAGTGCTAATGATAACACGAGCCGGTGACAGGGCTGGGGTTAGGAAAAGAGTGCAGCCGCCCATTTGGGACTCCATCAGGTGCTTCCTTGCCTGCCTCAGCTGCAAACCCAGACAGGTGAGGAGCTATAATGGCCAGTTCCCACCACTCCAGTGGCCTCTCAAAGGTGGTGTCTGAGAACAGAGGACCAGCCACCCTCCCTAGCCCGAGTGGCCAGCACAGAGTGTGGGGTCAGCTCAGCTCTGGACAGTCAAGGCAAAGGGGCACCGGTGCAACCAGAAGATGGGAGGCCATGGGTGGGGGGACACCCTGGAGAGTGATGACGTGAAAGCTCCAGGAGTAGCTGGATTGGGGTCAGAGTACTGCCTGCCTCGGGTTTCTAGGAGGAGGGCTCCAGAGTGGGACCCCCAAGTGTGCATTACTCCTGAGCCTATGACACCACACGGCCATGTGGGTGACCACGCAAGTAGGTAAGGTTGATAAATGCCTGGGCAGCGTTATGCCCATTGGGATCCTGATGCTTCCCTATTGAATGCTGGGTGCTCCAGCTGTCAGCCTGGCATTCATTCTCCTACCCATCCCCCACATTCAGACCCCACCCCACCCCTATCCCAGGGGCCCCCACCATACTGCCTCACTGCCCTGCAGCCTTGGGTTCTTCCTGTCCAGCTGCTTGCCCTTCCTCCTGCTGTCCCCTCCAGGTTCAGCCACAGTGGTTGACTCAGGGGCCACCAGGGGCCAGGTGTCCCTGGGGGAAACCTTTGGAAGGACCCTCTACCTTTCTGCAATCCACAGTCCAACCCCTTCCGGTTTTTGGTGGATGATTAACCCACAGGCAGAGATTCAGGAAGAATCCTGGGGTTAGTGGCATTTTTCAGTGAATAGAGCCGGCTGAGCCAGTAATCAGGCCCTTCATCTCCAGCCCCTCCCACTGTGAGGTTTGGCTGGGGATGGAGGGTGCGGGGGTGGTCTATAAGAAAGTTGGTGGGGGCGCCTGGGTGGCTCAGTTGGTTAAGCAACTGCCTTCGGCTCGGGTCATGGTCCCGGAGTCCCTGGATCGAGTCCCGCATCGGGCTCCCTGCTCGGCGGAGAGTCTGCTTCTCCCTCTGACCCTCCCCCCTCTCATGTGCTCTCTCTCTCTCTCATTCTCTCTGTCTCAAATAAATAAATAAAAAAAAAAATCTTAAAAAAAAAAAAAAAGAAAGTTGGTGGGGAGCTGCTAGCCCCTGCAGTGGGCCCTCCCTGGTCCAGCCTCCTCTCTAGCAATCCCCAAAACCACCAATGGTGCAAACCCACTCCCACTCCTCTGACTGTCCCTACCCCTAGGGTGGTAGGGCCCGAGCGCTGTGGGAGGCAATCCTAGCTCATCCCGACCTGGCTCTCTCACCCCCAGGCATGGTAGCACCTGACACACATACGGGAGCCTGTGCTGTCCATCTGCAGAGTCCTCAGGCTTGGACCCTCCCCCTTCCTCTCCATTTAACCACATCCCACCAGATGCAGCCCCTTGGTCTCTCGGCCCACTCCAGGCCCTCCACTCTGGGGTGGTGCTGTCAGCAGAGAACCCCACCTGGAGATGTTTACTCAGGCCTGACCCCCTGTCCCACTACAGCCCAGGCAGTGGGGCCTACAGGGCACACAGCTGGAGCGCGTCCCTGGAGGATGCAGAGAAGCCATGTGTGTTGCCTCCCTGCCGGACCCCCACGAAGTGCCATTGTCCCCAGAGCCCCGGCCCCTGCTAGAGGAACTCGAGTTCCTCTCCCCGCACCTCTTCCGAGGTTCCTTGCTAGGGTCCCCCCAGGCCCTGCCTCTTCCCACCTACCGAGAATGGATCCCCTCAGCTCCTGGGCAATGATGTGCAGGTCATCCACATCCACAAAGTGTAGGTGCTTCTCAGCGGGGGCAGAGGCGGCAGCTGACAGCTCCAGGAGGTTGCCCCGGCCAGTACTGACGATGAAGACAGTGACACCCAGGTCCTTCAGCTCCTGCATGGGGGGTCCCACGGGGTCGCTGGAGCCGCCGTCTGTCACCCACACCAGCACCTTGGGCACCCCTGGCCGGGCCCCCGCCACCTCTGCAAACAGCTGCTCCTTGGCGTAAGCCAGTGCCAGGCCAGTGTTGGTGTCGCCCATGCGCTGGGCTGCAGCACGTACGGCATCCTGGACAGCCTCACCTGAGCTGTGCTGGCCGAAGGGGAACTCGGTGTACGGGCGGCTGCCCACATGCACCAGGCTGGCACGCAGAGCCCCAGGGCCCAGGGGCAGCAGGCCCACCAGCTGCCCCACAAACTCCCGAACTCGGGAGAACTCATAATGAGACACGCTGGCCGAGCTGTCCAAGAGAAACAGCAGGTCCCCCTGGGGGGCCGATGCTGGGGGGCCTGGGGGAGAGGGGAGGGTTCAGCCCCAGGTGGTGGCCCCCAGACAGCCCCACACCCAGGGCAGAACCCTCAGGGTCTGAGCTTTCCCTAAGCTGGAGCTTACCCTTACCCAAGTAGGCCCTGAAAGCCTGCTCAGCCCCACCCCCAAAGGTTCTGAAGGTGGCACCCCTGGGGGAGGGGGAGAGGGATCCTGAGCCAACAAGTGGCCCACAGTCCCAGTGGGTTCTAACTCTGCACCCTGGTCATGTACCTGGAGTGCTCTCTGGGCTCAAGTCTCATCTGTAAAGGAGAGCCAACCCCTCTAAGCCCCTCCACCCTCCCTTTGCTCAGCGGACTCTGTGCAGGCTGGAGCCAAGGGTCCTGGCCCAGCACCCAGGAGTGTGAGTGGACAGGCCTGGGTCACAGGGGGGTTGTTTGCTCAGACTTGGCTTCAGGCCCACAGCCCAGCCTCCAGGTAAAGCAACTAGTTGTTGGGGGGGGGGCACAAAGCCCCTGGGGAGACTGGGAGCTGAGGTAGATAGATGAGAGGGACAGAGCATGATCACAGCCCGTCCCGCAGTCCATATGGCCAGGCTGGAGTCGTGACCCCACTTACAGATGATGTCACCCCTCCTCTGGACCCATCCTCTGCTCCATCTGGACCCAGGAAGCAGGTTACCTGCTGGAGCAGCTTGAGGGTCCACCAGCCCCTCCAAGGCCTTCCCCTTGCTCCCGGCACCCCAGGGGGCAAAAGGACCCCTTCCACCGCTGGGCCAAGGGCAGACAGGAGCTGGGGTGTCTCGGTCCTGATCTGTGCCTTGCGGCCTCTGTACCCTCCAATCCGATGGGGTGACTCTAGCCCTCTCACCGTCCCATCTCTCTACTAAGCGTCATCCCAAGGAGAAGGAAACTGAGGCAGGGACCTCCTCCCCGACAGACACCACCCCCTTCCTTTCCAGAGCCCCCTCCCCAACATCTGGTGCCCGCCTAGCCGCCTGGGGCACCTGGGCCCGCCCACCGCAGGTGGGTGGGGTGCCCTGCGGCCGTCCCTACCCCGCGGCCGCGGGAGGGAAAGAGACTGCCCCGCGCAGGCAGCAGGGGGTAGGGGCGCCGCCCGAGCTGGAGCCCAGCCCGCCGCCCGCCTCACTCACCACGTTCGGCGCCGCTCCGCGCCAGCGCCAGCCGCAGGCTCAGGGCCAGGCTGAGCGCCGTCCAGGGCAGCATCGCGCGACGGGAAGGGGCGCGCTCGGCCTCCGCTCGCCGCTCGCTCGCTCGGGGACTGCAGGGCGCGCCGCCGCGCAGGCCAGACCCGACCCCGCCCCCGGGAGGCCCCGTCCCCGAGGCCCCGCCCCCGGTGCACACTCACCCCGCGTGCTGAGGCGCACAGACTCCGGGAGGCGGGAGGCGTGCGCGCGGAGGGACCCAGGCGGGTAGCGACACGCAGCACTCACGGAGATGCGACCGCGGCACACACGCGTGGGCGGGTGCACAGACACAGAGACTGCAGCTGTCTTTCCGGGTTGGGGGGCTTCGGGGTCCGCACTGTCTCCTACCCCCAGCCAGGAGCAGAGCAGGGAGCTCTCAAGCTGGACCATATCCAGGCCCACCGCCGTGACCCCCGAGTGCTAAGAGCCTCTGGAATCAGGCCCAAGGGAAGCCCAGGGGTGCAACGGGGTGGGGGTGAGACTCACCTCTACCACAGGGCTGAGAGAGGGGTGGGTGTTGGGGGCTGGACACGTAGAAAGAAAGTGGGACGTTGGGAGGGGCAGAGGCCTGAGGGGGAACTTCTTGAAGGACCCAAAGCCCCCTACCCTACCTGGCTTCTTGGAGGAAGAGGCATAGGAGCTGGGAATAGCTGGTTCAGGACCTGTCCAGTGTGACCATGCTGGTACTATTGTTGTCTCCATACACCCTGCCCAATGAGGGGCCCAGGGTTTGACCCAAGATCCAACTCCAGGACCGAGGGCAGGCCCCCAGCCCTCTGGAGGGACCCATTAGCACCAGAGGTGGCTGACTGCAGGGGGCATCCTGAGACCACTCAGGCCTTGGGGCAGATTCCCTCCCCTTGGGCAGGAGCTGAGGGTCCAGATGAGGTTTCTCACTACTTTTTCTTTTCCTCTTTAAGATTTTATTTATTTATTTGGCAGAGAGAGAGAGAGAGACAGCAAGAGAGGGAACACAAGCAGGGGGAGTGGGAGAGGGAGAAGCAGGCTTCCCGCTGAGCAGGGAGCCCGATGCAGGGCTCGATCCCAGCACCCTGGGACCATGACCCAAGCCGAAGGCAGACGCTTCACCAACTGAGCCACCCGGGCATCCTGAGGTCTCTCACTACTAAGAGGACCACTGCCTTCTCCCAGCCATTACTCTGTGGAGCTGGGAGCACACAGGTCCCCCAGTGCAAGGTGGCAGAGGCGTCTCTGCCAGGATGTCCCCTCCCTTCCCCCCTCCCCAGGAGGATGCTCAGCAGCAAGGACGGATGGGACTCAATGGTTTTCCTTCCTCCCTTTATGGCAGGTGAGGGTGAGACGCTCTGTGAGACAGGCCGGAGCTCCAACTTTGCCTAAAAAAGGAAGTGGCCCAGCCAAGCTGGAGGAGCTGGGGCAGGAACAGGCGAGGACTGTGTCCCCGCCGCCCCCACCCCCTCGAAGGGAGTCTTGGCAGTGGTGGTGCTGGCTCAGCTCCACAGACCTCAGGCCTCTGCTGGGACCAGAAACTGCCTGGTGCTTCCGCCTGAGCCCCGGTGTTAGGGGTGGGCGGCAATGGGCTTGGGCCCCTGAAGTCCAGGGTGTGCCTCCCAGGGGGGCCTGGTGTGGCCCCCAGCCCCAGAGCACACCAGGCTGACCAGGACAGCTGCTACTGCTGGGGACAGTGAGTAGAGGCCATGGCCAAGCAGGCTGGGGCACTGGCCGAGAGCTGACCTGGGCAGGGGGCATTGGGGTTGAGATACCCAGGTAAACATGTGCAAACCCTTCTTGGTTCATCCTCCCTCTCACTGGGCACCCACTGCCAGGGGCAGGGAGCTGGGCCATGGTGGACTGCCCGATGGTAAGGCACTGCTTTACCCCTGCTTGTCTCCCAACTCCTATGTAGCAGGCGGGCCCAGTCACACTTGGGCCTGTGCTGCAGGGCTGACAGGGAAGTTTCCGTCCCTTCTGGAAAAACTGAGCGGGTCTTCTTGGCCATGACTCAGGCCCTCGAGGAAGCAGCCGCCCTCCTCCCCCCGGCCTCTCCATCAGAGGCAGAAAGGATGAGAGGCCCAGTCTTAGGACTGGCCTGCCAGGGCCTCTGCCCAGACTTGGCTGAGCTCGGCTACCAGCCCTGGTAGAGCTCTTCCTCGGCTCTGCTCGGCTCTGCTCGTCATTCCTGCTTCGCACGCTGAGCTGAGCTCTCACCTGACCCTGGGAGAGTCCCCTCACCCCCCATCTGGTCGGCTGTACTCCCCTGGCCCCCTGCACTCCCCTGGCCCCCTGCTCTGCCCTGAGGCTCTCCTGCTGCAGCATCCTGGCAAGTCTCATTCCAGCGTCCTGCACTTCCCAGCGGGAGACACCAGCAGATGGAGGGTCCCCAGGGAGTATGGGGGTCAGCCAGGAGTGTAATAGTCGGGGTCAGAGCTGCGCTTGAGGCAGATGCCAGAGGAAGCACAAATATAATTGTCCGGAAACCTCCTCTCAGAAGAAAGACAGGCTGGGAGGCTGGGGGGGTTGAGAAGGACAGAGGCAGCCGGGATACAGCAGGCCCTGCCCACCCGCCCTTTCCCTCCCCCAGGTCCAGCCCCTGCCTTGGCCCAGTCTGAGAGCTCCAGAACCTCACTTCCTGGCACTGGTCCACCCCACCCGCTGCTTCACAGGCAGGTGGAGGGGGTTCCGTGAAACCCAGGGACATTGCTTTCCGAAGGCACTGCCCCTGCCCCCACAGGGTCCACGGGAACACTCCCTCCTCCGCACAGTCCGGGCCTCTGCAGAGAAGAAGGGCCTTTTGTCCCTAGCTCACTGTGGTCATGTTGACCTTAGGGAAAAGGGCAGCTCCCGGGGCCTCTGACCCCAGCCTGAGGGCACTCTGGGCCTGAGGGGCAGAGCAGTGGGGGTCCCCACCCTCACCCGGTAGGGTGCCCTGTGCTGCTGTTTTTTATGTGTTTGTACCTACATATGCAACCATGCACGTGCTGGGGGACACAGAAACAGGAACAGGGGTTGCTGTGGTCCTGAGGCGGGGTGTGGGGCAAGCCGGAGGCCCCCAGAACCCACCCACAACAGTAAGGGGGGCAGAGGGAGGGGGTGGCCAGAGCAGCAGGGCCCAGAGGCCCCTTCTGCCACCCACCCAGCTGCCACACCCATGTGTCCTTCTAGACTCCACCTGCCTGTTTGTGGTCAGGGACGTGCCAGCACCTAAGGGACCAGGCCTGAGGGTCTGGAGGTCCTGTTATCTCACTCCCCAGGAGCCCAGGCCTGCCCCCTGTGATCCCAGAGCTGGCAACAGCAGGGTGGGCAGCCTGGGTGTGGGGTGGGTACCACCCTATCTGCATTCATCCCATTAGGTCTCTGCTGCGGCCAGCCACATGCCAGATTCTGCTCTGGGGACATGCAGACGCCCTGTCCTCTGAGGGCTGCCAGGATGGATGGGGGGCAAGCAGTAGTGTGCTTGCCAAGTTGTGGGTCTACTTATTTTCCCTGACAAGGGAGAGGCCATGTCAGACCAGGTGGGCACGAGCTACAGGAAGTGCCAAGACCCAAGGGTGGAAGTTGGCCAGTGTGTCAGGACAGTAAGGAGGCCCGGGGGGCAGAAAGGGTGGGGCAGGTTGTGGGGTTTTCATGGGGGAGGCAAGGGCCCATGGTGTGTGCAGGGGCAGGGTGGATGCCAGGGGGCTGATGCCAGGCATCTAAGGGGGCCCTAGGTAGCTGCTGTCTTAGGTAGGTCCGAATAGACAGGGGGGCGGGAGGCAGAAAGGGAGGCCGGCATCCAGACTCCTGTTTCTGGCCTGTGCAGAGACCTGAATAGTGTGCCCCTCCTGAGGTGGGACCCCAGCTCTGGTTCCCTCTGCGGGAAACCTCTGTAACAGGGAGATGATCATCACACCCAGCCCCAGCCCCAGGCAGTGTCCAGACCAGTTTGGATTGGTAAGTAGAGACTAGGGAGGAACAGACCAGTGTCAACACCTTGGTGGGGGGCTCCCCAGAGGTCAGGGTAGGGCCCAGGGGGCAGTGGGGAGGAACTTAGCCCTCAGAGCTAGCACTAGGCACTGCCTATTGCTACCCAGTTCACCCACCCAGCTCAGCTGCACTCCAGCACCCCTTGCCTAGCCCGCATGCCTGGATGGGGGCAGGGCTTACACCAGGTGGGTGGCTGGGGGGAATGAACTGGCCAAATCTCCTGGACCCCTACCAGCTGCCACCTGTGTCTGAGGTGTGCCTGCAGACACCTGAGCTCCCATCCCAGGAAATACTTTGTGAATGAATAAATGACCTCGGGCAGGTCAAGGAACCTTACAGAGCCCAATCTCCCCATCTGTGGGGTTGGGACAATGTCTCTGCCTGGAGTGTTAGGGGAAGCAGACAGAGGAATGTATGCACATATACACAAACAGGCAGTGCACACACACATAGGTACACACACACATGCACTCTGGAGACCACCCCCCATGACCAGGCATACTTACAGGGCAGGGGCCTGGGCACCTGGGAAAAAAGCATTTGTTGCCCAAAGTAGAGATTTCTGCCTGCCCCACCAGTAACTCAGTGCCTCTGCCCTTGACTTTCCTGACTGGCCCTCTAAAAGCAGATCAGTAGGCCCCTTCTGTTAACCCCCTACGGCCCCCCCACAGGTGCTCCTTTTGTGAGTGGGTGGGGCAGAGCTGGGGCTGAAAACAGGCCATCCCTGGGGTCAGCTAGAGGCCATGCAGGGCCCCAGGGCAGGCCTGGGAAATTGGGACACACCTTAGGAACCCTTGAGGCTCTGGCAGCTGAGCTCCCCACCAAGGCCTCCCCCCCGCATCAGGCCCAGCTGTTGTTTTGATGACTCTGGGGCCAGGCAGATCCTCAGGAGAGTCCTCATCTTCGAAGCCTGGCCAGAGCCTGCCCAACCTTGGGCAGGAGGGGAAGGAAGGCGGCTTCAGACCAGGGGAAGATATCCTTGGGCGCTGGGCGGCCAGCCAGGCTCCTGTCTGACTGGGCGCAGACAAATGGAAAACCCCAAGAACTCCTGTGGGATCTGAGCCAGCCACACACCGGGTCTGCTCAAGGCCACGGAATGAGCCTGAGCCCCGAGCCCTGATCTTTGGGCACATCTGAATCCTGACCCTGCTGGTCACACACAGAGCCCTGATGGCAAAATAGTATGCTAGATTCTTTAAGAGGCCTTTCATTTACCCCTAGATTCTGGACAAATTATAAGAAACATGTTTTTGTTTTTTTTAAAGTAATCTGGGGGCACCTGGTTGGTTTAGTGGTTAAGTGTCTGCCTTTGGCTCAGGTCCTGGGATGGGCCAAGTCAGGCTCTCTGCTCAGCGGGGAGCATGCTTCTCCCTCTAGCTTGTGCTCGCTCTCCCTATCTCAATCTCTCTCAAATAAATAAAATATTTAAAAAAAAATAAATAAAGGCAAATACCTTTATAAAAATATAATCTGGGGGTGCCTGGGTGGCTCAGTCGTTAAGCGTCTGCCTTCAGCTCAGGTCATGATCCCAGGCTCCTGGGATCGAGCCCCACATCGGGCTCCCTGCTCGGCGGGAAGCCTGCTTCTCCCTCTCCCACTCCCCCTGCTTGTGTTCCCTCTCTCGCTGTGTCTCTGTCAAATAAATAAATAAAATCTTAAAAAAAAAAAAAAGGAGTCATATGCTCTACCGACTTGAGCCAGTCAGGTGCCCCAAGAAATACATTTTTAATACACTGCTGGGCTTACAAGGAAGTAAACATCTTCAAGGCTCCCCCCAAATTAAAAACACTAAAAAGAAAGAAAGAAACAGAAGGGTAATGAACAGAAACCCAGGAAGATGAAAGGAAACAGGTGGGACAGCAGGGAGGCCCCTCAGCACAGGGATGGAGAGGCGCACTTGCAGTTAGGAAAGCCCACACGGACCCGAGCGGGGCCCAGGTAGGGCATGCCTTGCAGAGGGAATCCTTCCCGGAGGGATGTGTCCTCAGGATGTTCACAGGTACGGGGTGACAGTGGAAAATGAGCATCCCTTCAAAGAAACAATATCCTATTAGTGAGAATCACCAGAAACAACAAATAACAGATTTGGACACCCCCCCCAAAGAGTAAGAAATTGGAATTTTTAGGTACAGAATATAAAATAACTATATGTGAAATGCTCAAGAAATTGAAGTAAAACTGGAATCCAAAATTTGAACATGCACGGAGACCATCAAAAATGATGAGATTTGAATAAGAAACAAATATAACTTTTAGATACGATAATAACTTAAAATTAAATGAACACATTAATTGGCAGATTAGACACAATCAAACAATTAGTGAAACTTGAAAAAGATGAAGAAATTGCCCAGAATGCAGCACAAAGATTTGGGGAGACGGAAATACAAGAGAGGCCAGTGGACACTGGGAGCAAAGGGGAAGAAATGCTCCCAAAAAAGAATAAACAGGAGGCCAATTTGGAGACATGGGTAATGGTTGAGAATTCTCCAGAACTGATGAAGGACAGGGATCTGTAGGAACAGGAAACACAGTATATACCCAAATAGATGAATAAGAACATATCCACAACTAGAAACGTGCTTAAAGCCAAAGATGGGAAAAGACAGAGAAGATCTTAAAATTATCCAGAGAAAACAGATGAGTTAACGTGTCCAACCTGTCTGGATGCTTGCCCGGGGCACAAGCTGAGCCCGGACCTCCCTCCCAGGCTGAGCCCTGCAAGGCCTGAGGCTGCTGGCTATTGCTGAGCTTCTGGAACCATGTTCTTCCCGGGCAAGTCTCGCCACTTCTGGAACCCTCTGGAGGCCCTCTGACTGACCACACAAGGGGCCCGTAGGGCTGCCCTACGTGAGGGACAGAACCCAGGAAGGCCCCCTTTCGCTGAGCCCGGCCAGGCGCCCCTTCTCTGAGTGGCATCTCCCTCCTCCCTGGGGGCTTCCCGGCCCCTCCGCATCGGAGGGGACTGCGGGGGTGGGGAGACCTTGGGGAAGGGGGGGACCTTGGCTCGGGGGAGTCTGGTGCCATCTCGCGGCCACTCGAAGCACCGCGTACGAAGCCCCGAGGTATGCCCGCGATTTTGGAGGACAGAAGCCGGACGCAGACGCCGAGCTCGCAGGCCTGGGGCTCTCTTACGGGGCGGGGGGTGGAAGTTCGGGGGCCTTCCCGGGTTTGGGAGTCTTGTCCTTTGGAGAGGCCTCTGGGGCTCACACCCAGGCTCAGAGCTGCTCCTCCCCGTCGGCGTGGTGTCCCACTCGCCCACGGTCGCCGCACCCCGGGTGGCGGCGGGGTCCAGGGGTCCAAGTTGGGGGTAGCAGCGTGAGGAGGCGCCGGGCCAGGCGGGTGCGGGCGGCCGAAGCAAGCACGAGCAGCGGAGGCAACGAGAGGAAGCCGAGGACCATGAGCGCCGCGGAGCTTCTGTCCGAGAGGAGCGCGCGGCACGCGGGGCGGGGTGCCGGGTGAACCTGAGGGCGGGGCGGGCGGTCAGGCAGGGCCGGGAGCGGCCGGGGAGCAGGTGGCCCCGCAGAGGCCTCGGGGCGGCAGTAGGCGGACCCGGCGGGGCGCGTGGCCAGTGCGACCCTGCGCGCTGGGGCCGGGGCGCGGGTCTGAGGTCTGGCGGAGCGGGCCGGCTGCGGCCGGCTGGGGCCGGGCACTTTTGAGTCGAGAATGGGAGATCCGGGGCCCAAGCGGCAAATGGCCGGAGTAGGAGTCCCTTGAGGGGAGGCTCAGAAACTTGTTCCCCGTTTGCCCCATCCCGGCTTTCCTCCCGTCTGTGCTCTCCTGGGGCCCTTCCCTATGTTGGCATCTGACCTCGAGTTCCTACCCGTGCCGCTCTCTCCCGCGGCCCCGCCTTCAGTTCCCCCGCCCCCGCCTCATGCCTACAAAAGGAGGACCCGGGGCACGTCTGCCCACACGCCCCTTCCTTAGACCAAGCCATAGCCTGTTTCACACGGGGAAAGCCAGCCCAGGGCAGGAGGGGTCTCCGAGGGGCCGCGGGGACGGGCAGGGGTGGTGCACTGGAGAACTTGGGCAATATCTCCACCTTCTCTTCCTGGAACCCCCCTCCTCTTCCCACCATGCCCAGCGGTCCAGGCTCTGGTGGCCCTTGGTACAAGGCTAGGCGGCCTCGCAAGGGGAGGGAGCTGTCCGCTCCAGCGACAAACAAAAGCCCTTCTTTTGCTGCGGCTGGGTGGGGGGGTGCTTGGCAGAAGGAGGAGCTTTCCGGGGAGGCGCACATATGTCTCTGGGGACAAGGGAACCGTGTTGAAAGGAGGAGACTCACCTACAGCCCCAGGGCCCTGCGCTTCTGCAGGACCCCCCACTCCCGCCCCCAGGGCTTAGCTCACCCTTGAGTGGCACAGGAATCCCAGGTATGCGATGGCCGCCGCGGGCAGCAGCACCAGCAGGAACACGGCGGCGGGCAACAGCAGGTGCAGCAGGAGCCCTGCCAGGGCCTGGCCGGGCAGCAACAGGGACCTGAAGCCTCGGACAGCCAGGCCTACCCATCCTGGGGACATCAGGGCTGAGGTCCGGCAGTCAGGAAGTCTTCCTGGCAGCATGGGTGCTGTGTCGGAAGCGCCCCCTCCCTCCTCCTCCTCCGTCTCCTTCTCCTGTTCACTCATGTTCTCCGGGCAACAGGCCTGGTGGGTTCCCCCAGGTAGTCGGACGGCAGGACCTAGGTCCCCAGGTCAGACTCCCACCCAGACCCCAGCAACCATTGTGGACCCAGACGGAGGACAGCACCCTGGTCCCAGTAGGTCCAGTTCTGACCCTCAGTCTCCAGGGCCACACCGCTGCCTCAGTTTCCCCTGTTGCCAGGCTGGGCCTCTCTGCCAGGCGACTGCAGCTCTGGCCCTGGTCAGTCTCCCCACACAGCTCCTGTGTGTTCTGGTCAGGGCTTGCACAGCTGTCCTGGCACTGGGGCCCTCCTTCCTCCTGGTCCCGCCCTCTCCCCCGCTTCCCGCTCCCCCACACAAGGACTTCATTTCATAGGTCTTGACATTGACAGCGGCCCCATCAGTTGCCGCCTTAGTCCCTGCTCGTGCTCTCATCCCCAAACCTGGCCTTTCTGAGCCTCAGTAAAACGGAAAACACTGGGTGCCTGGACTGTAGGGCTGTTGAGAGGGCATGTGGGCAATGCATGTGAAGTGTTTACTGCAGGACTCAGCACACAGTAGGTGCTCAATAATAGCAGCTACAATGACAAACATCCTTTGTCTTGGAGTCTCATCCATCCCGAAAACAGTGGGAGCATGCACTCTGTTATTTCAACCGGGGAGAAAGCATTCCCCGATCTTCCGTAAACCCCAACTAATTTCCCCAAATATTACTGAAATGCTTTTAACTCCTATCAGACGTTAGGTTTTTCTTGCGTAGCACTTGGCATTTTATTTATTTTATTTTTTTAAAATATTTTATTTATTTATTTGACAGAGAGAGAAGCACTCGGCATTTTAAACACCACTTACATAACTAGCTGACACTTGGAGTAGGTTGCCTGTGAGCTGAATGAACAAGCTGTGTGGCACCAGATATGAACGTCTCCCTTTCACACCTTCTCCCACCATTGGCTTTATCACATCCTACTTTTCTTCTAACATTTTCCAGTGCGTAAATGGGGGATGGCAGCGATCGTGCACAGCGGGCTTAAGGAATGCAAGCCTAAGTCAGGCCCCTGTGAGGACGTGAGCTGAGGCTCCCTGCAGCACATGCCAAGCCCTGTTGCCCGACACACATACACGATTTAATTTTCACCTGCACACACATATCCAGATCTTATAGTAGCTGTTGATTTATTCAGATAATGAACTTAGGGTAGAAAATGTTGCAAATGATAATGTTCAGATGCAGAGTTCAGGTGGAGAGGGTACCGGTCTAATCTCCTAAGCTCCAGTCTCTGCTCAGGTCCCTCTTGCATTCACTTGCTCATGCAATCAACATTCGCTGAGCTCCCTCAGTGTGCCAGGACTGCTCTAGGCTCTGTGGACTCAGTGGTAAAGGGGGCCAGTGTGGGCCTCGACAGCTCTGTGCGGGTGCCCTGACAGGCCTGCATGATTCCATAGCTGGGTGAGCTGCCGCGCTCCAGGCTTCGGCAGAAGGTGGGAGGACGGCCATGCAGCTGGCTCCCACAGACTTCTGCCTTCATGAAGGCGGTTTCTAGGTTTCCCTGGCTCTCATGAGCTATGAGAGTTTCCACCGGACCTCCCAGGGTGCAGTGAAGCATGGAAGTAGCTCTGCAGCAACAGCCCCCCGTACCCCCCCCCCCCCCCCCCCGCCGCCACTTGTCAAGGGAGTCAGGAGGGAGCTGACAGCTTTGCTCTCTTGCTTTTGCTGGCTACTTAGGTCGTAAACCATGTTCATCCACCCAGATCATGTTGCTTCCTTACCCGCTGAATCTGTCAGCCTGTGTGGTGTGTTCTCAGGGAGCTTTCATTCTAGAAGAGGAAGGCAAGCATTTAAAAATAGAGTAGAGGGGCGCCTGGGTGGCTCAGTCGTTAAGCGTCTGCCTTCAACTCGGGTCGTGGTCCCGGGGTCCTGGGATTGAGCCCCACATCGGGCTCCCTGCTCCGCGGGAAGCCTGCTTCTCCCTCTCCCACTCCCCTTGCTTGTGTTCCCTCTCTCGCTGTGTCTCTCTCTGTCAAATAAATAAATAAAATCTTAAAAAAAAAAAAAAAAGAGTAGATACTTGGGACGCCTGGGTGGCTCAGTCGGTTGGGTGTCTGCCTTCGGCTGTGATCCCAGGATTCTGGGATCGAGTCCCGCGTTGGGCTCCCTGCCTCCCTGCTCGGCGAGGGGGGGGTCCCCCCTGGTTCTCCCTCTGCCTGCCGCTCTTCCTGTTTGTGCTCCCGCTCTCTGACAAATAAATAAGTAAAAACCTTCATTTAATTTAATTAATTAATTAATTATATTTGACACAGAGAGCGCACAAGCAGGGGGAGAGGCAGAGGGAGAAGCAGGCTCTCTGCTGAGCAGGGAGCCCGATGCGGGGCTTGATCCCAGGACCCTGGGATCATGACCTGAGCCGAAGGCAGATGCTTAATGACTGAGCCACCCAGACACCCCTGGGAGGTGACACTTGAACAGAGTGACTGAGGCTCATGGGATAGAGTCCATGTGGCTTAGGGGTGAGATGGGGCCACTCCGCCCCTTGCCAGAGACCCACCCTTTGAATCTGGCACCTGGAAAGGCTGCTTTCTAGGGAGGTGGGGTAAAGGTCAAGGTTCTGCTGCCCCTCTAGAGAGGGTGTGTGTGTGTGTTGTGTGTCAGGGCTGGGCCTTCAGGACACCTCATCCCTGGGAGTGTGTGTGCGGGGATGGGGGGCTGAGGGGGCTGGGAAAGGCATGACCACCCAAAGCCATGTTGCCTCCCCAGTGGACAATCACAAGAGGCAGCTGGACAGGGGGAGGCTGCAGGAGATGGCTATATCTCCTTCTCCTGTCTGGGTTCTGGACAGGTGGCCTTACCAGGGACTGGGGATGGTAAGGTACCCTCGGGGTCAGGGCCCCAGAATCAAGGTGACCAATCCTGGAGGCCTTACTCAGGGCCCCTTCTGAAGTACCACTTCCCTTTCTCTAGACTTGGCTCTCCTCTCTTTGTCTGACTCCCTCCTAGTGTCCAGGCAGGGCTCTGCCCCTTTCACAGCCTCTGTTGAGTTGCCTCAACCTACCCCAAGGGGCTTCCTACTACTCTCCATAGGGTCATCCAGGTTGCCTGGCATCCGTGGTAAATCTTCTATCCTGGCGTGGCATCTGCTTGTGGGGGGAGGGGTCCTACTTACCCTGTTCATCTCCCCAGGCTGGAATCAGGAGAGAGGCCAAGCTCCAGCCCCAGAGGTGGTCTTAGCCAGCAGGGACAGGAGTGCGGGTGAGGAGCAGGGCCTGAGGGAGGGACCCAGGGGAAGGCATGTGTGTGCCTCTCTGGGGCAAGTCATGGCACATCAAAGGCTGTGGGCCTGTTTCTGCCTGCCTGGCCTTTGTCTCCCAGGAGGGAGGCCAAGCCAGGAGCCCTGGCAGTTGGCAGGGGAGGAAAGGTGCTGGGGCAGGGGCTGTTGCCAGCCGCACGGTGTCCCTTTAAGTTGCTGGGTAAACAGTGCAGAGGTGGCCCTCAGCCTGGCCCAGGAGGCTGCACTGCTCTCCCTACCCCACGGCTGCAGTCCCAGCCTTCTACCCTCTGGAAGCAGACAGCCCCCCCTCCACACTTTCAGAAGGCCTCCATGAGAGGGCTACCAGGCTGTGGCTTGCCCAGGAACCACAGGGAGAGGACCCCCAACTGGAGGACAGAGCCTCAGGGTGGACTCCCCCTAGGGGTAACTAGGAGTTAAACCCTTCAGAAGGCTAAGTGGTAGTCTGGTCGCCTGGGGAGATGTGGGGGGGGGCAGTTCATATTGGCCTGGGGACACAGGGCTGGGGATGGCCAGGGACCTCCAGTACCCACGAGGGATTCCTGTTCTTCCCAGATGGACTCCAGGAGCTCCCAGCCAGGGGAGCAAGACATGACAGAGGCAGGGGCTCAGCAGGAACTTCGGTGGGTGGAACTGGGCTCAGAGGAGGCTCTGGAAGCCAGGACCGCGGGCCCCAGTGCCCCGCAAGCCTGGGGGCTCCTGCTGCAAGCTGTGTGGAGGGGTCACCTGGGCCTGGCAACAAAGCTACTGCGTCAAGGGGCCAGTGTGGAGGAGAGGTGAGCCCCAGGGCTGGACCAAGAATCTTCACTAGGGCGGAGTTGGCAGGGGGTCCTTTCTCTGGGCAGGGCAGCAAGGGCCCCTCTATTGGCGCTCCTGCCCTCATCCATGCCACCCTTGCTGCCCACAGGGACCACAGGGGCAGGACCCCGCTCCACCTGGCCGTGCTGCGCGGCCACGTGCCCCTGGTGCGTCTCCTGCTGCAGCGCGGGGCCGCGGTGGGAGCTGCCGACCGAGCGGGGCGCACACCACTCCACGAGGCCGCCTGGCATGGACACTCGCGGGTGGCCGAGCTCCTTCTGCGGCGTGGGGCCCCAGCGGCTGCGCGCTCGGGGGCCGGCCTCACGCCGCTGCACTGGGCCGCGGCGCTGGGCCGCACGCTGCTGGCCGGGCACCTGTTGGGCACGCCGGGACCAGGTCCCTCGGCGGCGGATGCGCGCGGCTGGACGGCGGTGCACTGGGCGGCCGCGGGCGGCCGGCTGCCGGTGCTGGAACTGCTGGCGGCGGATGGCGCGGGCCTGGACGGCGCCCTGATGGTGGCAGCCGCGGCCGGGCGCACGGCGGCGCTACGCCTCCTCCTGGCTCGCGGGGCGCGGGTGGACGCCCGGGACAGCATGGGGACCACGGCGCTCGGCGTAGCGGCGAGCCTGGGCCGCAGGCAGGTACGTCCGGCCTGGCCTCGGGGAGGGAGCGGACAGGTGGGCCCCTTGGACGGGTGGAGCGAGACTGGTGGGTGGGAGAGTGGCTGGGAGGGGCCGGCTGCTAGGGGCCCCTTGACCGTGTCTCCCGTTTGTAACCTCTCTTGGAAGGCCGGTGAGGATGCGTGGCCGGGCATTCGGACTTTATCCTGGTGACCGGCAGCAACAAATCACTGCGAGCACCAGAGCTGTCCTTGAGCCCAGCGAGCCCCTAGGCGTGGGAAGGGAGGCTGCGGGCTGCTTAGTC